CTGAGCTGACGGAATGTCTGGGCATCATCTTTGCTTTTCTCTTAAACCCTTCCGCAGCAAGAAGATCCTCCAAAGACATTGCCATTTTGATTCAATTTCAAACCTTGCTGGAGCCTATTTCCACAAAAGTGTTCAAAGGTTAATGCTTAATCATAAAATACTAAATGCAATTACTTTTTCAAATCTTTAGGATGCAGTTTGAGCATGTTCGGCTAAGCTTAAAAGTTACTTCAAGGCCAAATATGTTTCTACCATTCTAAATGTTTGCCATTTTTGTTCAAAATTAAAACTTATTTTTCTAATTATATCTTCACTTACCACACAACTAACTTGCATATAGCATTAAATTCTGTCATTTCTAAGGTTCAAAATCTGTAGGTTATCTTCAAACTCTCCTCAGTCTATTTAAACACTAGGAAAGTTGTGATTCTAATTTTCCATGCTCAACCGAATTCGACCTTTTCATGTTTTATTAAAATATTAACACACAAATTTAAACTTTTCTAGGAAAAATCATAATTCATGCTGTTTAACAATTAAAACATTCTGCAATCTCATTAGATGACAAAATTAAACCCCACAAATTATGTAACCAAGAACAATTGCAGAACAGAGGCAAAAGATTTTTACCTTTAAGCTGCTTTTTGGTAATAAAAATTCCTTCAACCGAACCGACAACACTGAAAACAGCGTTTTTTCTCCAAAAACTCGTCACCATAAAGGTTGTTGGATTGACTTGGTTAAGATCTTTAAACAACAGTGAAACAGATGAACAGAATAAAAAGAAAGGAATTATTGAAGTGCTGATGCTACAATGAATCTAATTATTGAAATGCTGATGCTACAAATGGGATTCATTTGGTAGATATTAAGGAATTGGACAAAGGAAAAAACAAATGCAGAAACAGATTATAGAATTGAAGATTGTAGTGATGTTACAATAGGCAACAAGGGAGAGGATTAAGTAAGAAAAAAGACAAATGCAAAATGACAAACCAGAAAATGCTACAATTATATAAATTTCAAGGCTAAACTGTGCAGAATATTACGTTTAATAATTTGTTTGCAGGCCACAGGTTTAAACTATATTATTCTAAATTCCAACTGCCGCCCTAACACTACCCCTCTCTCTGTCTCTCCTTGTCCTTTTAGTTGAAATAATAAGTGGAACCGAATTGAATCCTTCAAACTGAGAATTGAATTAATAAATCCTTTAAACAGAAAAGTGATGAACTTGGAAATAAGAATACTCTTTGAAAACAATAGTAACTTTTGTATGTTCATGCAGGCGGTGCATGGAGGCTGTTCCTTATAAATGGATTTAAGGGCTTATCTTTTTTTCAAAAAAAAAAAAAAATCAATTCACATATTAGATTGTTGAAGTTATCTTGATTTTCACCTTGTTACGTGTTATGTCCCGGCTCTATTTAAAGCGAATCGTTATAAAAAAAGGATAAAATTTCAAAAAATAATGTTTAATGAGCTAATCTAGGTGGCAAAAGGAACCATATCTCTGTTTCATTCTTGCTTAGTTAATCAGAGTACAACTTTGGATGTCTTGGTACAGAAGGTATAAATGCAGGTTTTATTGTTGATACTGCGTTCGATAATTGCTCTTAATCAAATCACTGAAAAACATTTGGAAACTCAGTCAATCAATCCAATTCAAGCTTCCAGAGTAATATACTAATATTCAGTGGTAATCTTATATGATATGTAGAAAAATCAACAGTGTTATATGATTACTCCAAATGATGGTGCGGTCAATTGGAAGATGCTCCAAACAAGAATGACTGCTAACTCTACAATTAAAGTGATATACATAAATAGTTCTTATCATTGTAGATCCAATAATAGCGTATTGTAATAACAATTGAGTCACCACGCAAGTTAAGAAACCCAGGTCTCATCGACGATTTGAGTATGTATTGAGGCGCAATAGCCTGGGAGATTGTAGAAAAGATAGAATGTGTGTCTGCTCACCTTGAGAAGGTTGAACATGGGAAAAGCAACACTTATCCTGAAAATTCAGATCTATAGAGATAGATCACGAAATGAATTTGAGATTTAGGAATAGATCCATTTCTTGATCTTCAAACTTATCATATATTCATTTGTAAAGCCACTATTTCAATAGAAACGTATAGTGGCGGATTTAGGATACATACTAGCCCAACTTAAAAATAATTTTTTAGTTCAGTTATGATTCCAATCCATCCCTGGAAACATGAATGTCATGAAAATTCATTAGGCATTGGATACATAGGAAATTGGAACTTGTGCAAGTGCGAGAATGTTATTGGTGTATTCTAAGTCAAATTGTTGACAAGGTATAACAACTCTATTATCAATGTATTTGCATTATTGACGTATCTATTATTTTAATTATATTTATTAATGGAGTCCAGAGATTAGTTATGATAATTGATAATTACAAGGTGTTGTAATTGTAAGATACAAACTTAACTTTAAATTGTTATTGATCGTTAGTAACCATGAGACACAAATATCGTAATTATAATTAGACCAACACGTATCTTATGAGCAAGACAACTAGGCATAATTAAAAAGGAAATGTAGAATGCAAAACATCATTTTTGTGAATTGATTTTTCATCAAGTACAAGTTCCTTTCAAGTGAAGTTTTATTTTAATTCATATGCTGCGTTAGAGGCTGCTGATCAACATTTCTTCACGAATAAAAATAATTTAAACAGTTCCTTATGAGAACTAATCAAATTAAGGGCTGTAGCAGAAGACTTGGCACCAATAGTTGCTCCAGGCATAGTTTCCAAACCTTCAATTGACAACCTCAATAAACAACCACAACCCAATTAGCCTCCATTCCAATCCTCTTCTTGGTTGCTATGGCTTGCCCACAAAGAACACACAACAAAGAATTAGCACAGCCACAAATGTAGCCACGAAGGCAGAAGAGAATGAAGAAAAATGGGGAGGTGCAAATCACAAAGAGAAGCAGCCAATTTTTCACAAAGGAGAGGAAGCTCAACGGTACAAGGTCACCACAATACAAAGGCCAGGGCAATATATATAAGGGAAAAATTCATAAATAAGGTGTTTAGTTTACGCTAATTCAAAAATCATGTTTATAATTTGAAAATTCAAAAATCAGGTTTTTTTTTTTTTTTAAATTCTAATATAATATAAATAATATAATAAACTCACCCCACATGCACCACCCCTACCCGCTCATGGGACTATTCCGGCGACCACTTCGGCGACTGCTCCGATTCCGGTGACTATTTCGGTAATCATTCCAACGACTATTTCGGCAATCATTCCGGTCACATATTTACAATTTACTGTTACAGTTCAAAAATTTTATAGGTCACATTGAATTCGTTGGTCACAGATTGCAAAATTAGTTGGTCACAGATCAAAATTTATAGGTCACACAGTCACAAATTTCCAAATTAATTGGTCACAGATTTTTTACGATCACATATTATATAATTTTTAGGTCACATATAATTTACAATAATTTTATAGGTCACAGATTATTTTATTGGTCACAAAAAATTACAAGTCACAATTATCTTTCAGTCACATATTTTCAAATTTATTGGTCACTAATTAATTTTTAGTCACATATTGTCGAATTTTAAGGTCACAGTTAGTCCATTATGCGATTTTTTTTGTGATCACCACCGACGGACTTCTGTGACCACCCCGACACTTGTGACCACCACCTCACCACTGCCACTAGCGGCATAGCCATCTAAGCTCCCTCAGCCAAAACCACTACCACCATCTCCCAGCACCGCATCACAACCCACCAGATCCACCACCTCAAAACTCTGCAGGCGACTAATTCGTTCTATTCTTATCTGATCACTGCTGTCCTTAGAATCAGACCCAGACCCAGGAGAATGGCAGCACTGTGCACGACAGCGATGCTCGTGTTGGTGCCACTGAAAGGCGCGACATCGTGTGTCGTTCCCGCTGGTAAAGAATATGGCAAAAGGAGGAGAGATAGAGAAGAGAGGAGGTTGCCTCTCCGACGATCGCCGAGCCTCAACTCCGCTGCNAGAGAGAGAGAATATGAAGAGAAGGAGAGGAATGAGGATAGAAGAAAAATGATTTAGGGTTTGTTTTGGATTAGGTAGGTGGGTATTATATTTAATTATTAATTCAATACTGATTTTTGATTAAATAAAATTCACACCTGAATTTTGAATTTGAAAAAATTAAATGCCTGATTTTTTGTAATTTCCCTATGTATAATAGGAACATTAGGTAATAGTAATGGGCTAAGCCCAATATATGTAAACAAGTGGGCTAGGTATCACTAAGTGGGCTTACGCTTATAAACCGTCCAAAAGAGAGGAAATGGACCATGAGCAATACTAACTAAATTAGGCTGCTTTCCATGGCCACTTGGTTTTTGGGTTGGGTCGTCTTCATTGAGGTATCGATATTTCATTCAGTCATTTGGTCGATGCCGACTGAATAGATTTTACTGATTTAACATCATAGCCCAGGTGGTAGTTTGACAATAATTTCCCATGGGTAAAAATAGCCAGAAGAGTATGTTAAAAGTACAATCAGAGGACATACCTACAATAGAACCAAGAGCTTTTGCATCTTCAAGTCTAACCATCGGATGTTCATGGGATCCTGAAAAATCTTGAATAGGGCATCTGTAGCTTTTTTGTTCTCTAATTCAGACAAGACTTGGGCAACCTTGGGAACGCATCTATGAAAAGTCTTTCTTGTGTATAGGGAGAAGAAGAATATAAAGCATTACAACATTTACTACTTTTTATAACACGTACAAAAGCTTTTTTTGCACCCAGGGATTAAATAATAACTGAGATTGCTTCAACAACTAGTTTTCAAAGCGCAAAAAGTGCTATGTAGCGTTCATAGATGCTATTGTTGTCGTTCAATAAAAATTCCCTAAAAGATATACAAGAAGACGAACTTGATGAAGTGATTAATGAAGTTGAGTGATAAGACCTGCACATTGTGATTATCAATCTAGATAGAGGCAGATGAATCTAGTTCAAGTGAGGGATTCTTCATCTTCTCAATTCTACTCGAAGCCATTTCACAAGTTTCTCGAACTTCTTGTGCTGGATCCAGAGCCAAACTATTCTTCAAAGCTGGAACACTAATTTTTAAACCAAATGCACCAAGAGCTTCAGCAAAATCCTCTACTGAAGTGAAATATCCCTTATCCAAATTTAGAATGAGGACACTTTACGGCGAACAATGGGATGCAAGGAAAGATCACTTAGATTTTCCAACACAGGGATAGAATCAAAAATTTGTATCCTTCTATGTTCCGATCTACACAAGAAGACACTTATATTTACAAAAAATACAATTGCATATGATATTACATTATTTATTTGTTTGTTGAGTTTTAAGAGCTCGTATACTCTAAAAAGAGGATAGGATGTTAGGTCAGGATCTAATATATACAATTTATCGAGATCATTCAACATGACCAACAATTTAATATGCCTCATTTGATACTTGAGAAACTTTTTCAGGTAATTAATTGACACAAAACCAAAAACTAATGGGGACAAAATGAAAATCAAAATCTTGTATAAAATCCAATCTTTCTATCATAACAATTGGTAATTACTTTTGGTTTAAATACATCAATGATTAATCTCTCGATAATATTAGTTGCACACGAGTGAAATATTATTTGTTTGTCGGTTTGTAAGAACTCGTACACTTTAAAAGGAGGTTAGAATTTGACTAGGGAAAACAATTGTGACACACCTGTTGACATAGTTATTACAAGACTTCGATGTTGTACCTCTCCCGATCAACTTTTTACCCAACCACGATCCATCCAAGGCAGAACCCTTTCTTACTGCTACCCCCAACGATTCTATTTCCATTCTGATTTTGACCATGTTGTCATCTCGACCTTGGGATGGCTGAGCATTTGCCAACCTTAGACAGTCTCCTACTTCTTGATCTCTATTTCTACTCAATCTTTACCTTTTCCTAAGAGGCTAATCATTTTAGGTAGTCATTCTACTCAATATTATATTTACCTTTTTCGAAGAGGCTAGTCATTTTACTCAATCTTATCTTTACATGGCCTCCTTAGCCCATAAGCCGCATATGACCCCTAAGGTATCCTAGTCGCACTAGGATTACAATATCAACTACCATACAAAAACACCTTAGCCTTATTAAAGGTTTTCACATTCTTTTTGCTTTACTTTCCATTCTCTAATTTTGCTAACTTAAGCATTATAGGGGCTACAAGGTTAGAACTCTCAGCCTCTGTTTCAGGTATTGGTGAACAATCTAAGTTTGGATCTAAAGCTTGGTCAACCATGTAATGTGAAACTTGATATATAAAATTTCGATGAGTTCTTTCAGCTCGGTCAACAATTTAATGTATTGGTTTGATTTTTGCTGAGCTCATTTATCATACATCATATTTGCCTGGACGAGTATGCAACAAGAAGTTTTTTTTATGACTCGGGTGTCCAAGTTTCGCCCGACTAATCCTGAGAACTGACGGCTTCCCCCCTGGTTAGCCACCCGGGTTAATTCGGATGCGGTCACAGCTTATACACACTTGGGCTAGACATCCGAAAGTTGGCCTAAATATTAGTATACTTCGTCCGCCACCATAGTTTTGCATCTTGATGGTTGTTCCTAAAAGTTCGAGTAGTTCGATGGACAAGATTCTCTTTAGTATGAGGGAGTAACGGTTGTTGTCCGTAGTAATCTCGAAGAAACTCTTATTAGGAGAAGAGCTCTTTTGAGCATTGAAACACATTTGAGCAGCATTCAGGAGTTTTACCTAAATTTTCTGCAAAGGATAGATAAGGTGCCGAAAATAGTCTTCAAGCATAGCATTGAAACACTCCATCTGTCCGTCAGATTGTGGGGTACCTTACTTTGATTTGGTCCCACCATTTGCTAGTTGGCAATATGCATTCACCATCCATTTCTGAGGACACTCTACCACCTAATGTGGTCTTTCACATAAAAAGCACTTCAATTTAGGACTGACATCAGATCTACCCTTATTTGCTTTTCCTTAGTTCCAATTGTTACTTTGATGTTGCCTTGATAGGCTTCTCCCCGATTTTGAGAGTAAAGTTCTTCTCCATTTGAGCTCGAGCTAGGTCTATGAGGTCTATTTTCACCTCTAATAGACTGACTATTTTCCGAAGGTCGATCCTCTCTCGATTCTGGTTGATAGTTACTCAAACATTTGGCAGCTCCCATAGCTGTGCTTAAATCAGTGACCTTCTGTCTCTGAAATTCCGTGCGTGTCCATGGTTCCAACCCTTCCAAGAAGGTGAATAGCTTATCTTTTCCGACATATCTTGAATATTTAGCATATGTCCTGAAAAAGCTTTCACATACTCCCTAATTGAACTTGTGTGTTTCAGTTCTCGTCTGACGTGCCTCATATTCCACATTCTATGGAAAAAATTGAGATCTGATTGTTTCCTTAAGAAGATCCCAAGAATCTATTAGGACTGAATATCAGTATACTTCGTCCGCCACCATAGTTTTGCATCTCCACCAAGGTACATGGTAGATGTTGTAATCTTTCTTGCATCGTTTTCAATCGAAGCAGTAAGAAAGTATTGTTCCATATCAAACAAGAAGTTTTAGACTTCTTTTGCATCGCATGCTCCTCGTAGATACACGGTTCCGAAATCCTAAGCGTGGGAACTTAATCTTGTGTAGTGGCTTGCCCATTGCCAACTGCACGTTGAAGTAGTAATTGAGCTATTAATGCTTCCATTTCATCCTGCAGATCAAGCAGGATGGAAACAGTTTCAGTCATTGTTGTGCAAGTCCTTCGACTTTCATCTAGTTGCATGTGTAATTCACGAATTTCCTTCTTCGCCACTTAAACTTTATCCTTGAGGCCCTCCAGGCATAGCACAACCTAGTAGTTGTCACCTCAAGTGCATCCACACGTTGTTTCGTATTCCTCTTTTGAGGATCTACGACTTCTGTGGTGTTCGGTATAATTGGATCCATAGTTTTTTTATCGAGGGTCGTGAGCTGCATCTCTGATACCAACTTTCACAGGGTGCCTTTCTTTTTAGTACAGAAAGGGATACTGTGCGATAGTAGTCTACTCCGCTAGCCTACCTTCCGCCTTCTCTCGATCGTTTCGGGATGAAAGAAAATTTAATTACAATTTGTAGAAAGCTTGCAACATAAAATTGAGATGCATTGAAAGAAAATTGATCATTGATTGCTTAAAAACTAGAAATTACAATTGATGAAAGCATGAAATTACAATGGCTGGTGCAAGGGGCGAACTTGAAAGACTAATACTCCCTATAATAACTTGCGGAACAAAAACCTAAGTGATAGGAGTAGACGTTTAAATAACGATGAGTCATACTAAACGTTTACCAATATCAGAGCTATTTTACAATTGAAATAAATTATTACAATGTTGATGTAATATGTAAAGTCTGGTACGTGTTGGCCTGTGTTAACTTAATGGCAGAGTTCAGCTCAAGCCTTCGTGGTGAAGAGCTTTTTCTTTTATTTGTAAGATAGAGCACAAATAGAATATGCAAAAAATTGTATCTGCTTTGATTTATCTAGTTAAAGCAGTTCAAGCATAAGTAAAGATAATTCCGAGTTCCCCTCTCTGCAATCAGTTTTGCTACAGCATCCACTGCTCTATAGCTCACTAAATGTTATTATGTGACATAAATTAGTTGTTCGGTGAATTAACTGATTGTCATATTATGCAATTTTATTTCTTGCAAGTGTATGGTTTTTCATGGATAGTGTTTGCCATACTTATAATTCTATTCGAGGTTTGATCTTGAAACTCATAATTGGTAGTGTAACCTTCTTACCTTTCATAAGCAGCTCTTGTCGGATTGAATTTTTGTTTTGGATTCTGCAGGTCTTCATATTCAGTCAGAAGATCTCGGTTAATTTTCAGCTGCTGCTGCTGCAGTTTATCCAAGGTCTCTCATTTTTGCTTGCACTGGCTGGGTTGGCTGTTGCTATTGTACTTACCAATCTCTCTATCACACACATATTCGCTTGCATCTTGGATTTTTTACCCATTTGACGGGGAATTCTATGCACAAGTTTTATGTTCTCATGTTTTGATTTTACCCCTGCTATGACCAAACACGCCATAAATTCATCTCAGCCACACAGATGATGTTCCTAAGTTCTAAATGGTCTGATATTTTGGTCTCATATTACCCTGCAGATCTGATAGCTAACCTAAAGATTTTCCCTTTCAGTCTTGTATGAATTTGTTAATTAATCTTTGAGTAACATATTCTTCGATATCTCTCTACGAATAATAACATACTACTGAAAGCACTCACACCAGCCATATGTTTTGGAGACCTATACATCAACACCCTGGTGCATTACTAAACTGGGACCGAGTGTTCTCTAGATGCTGGAATGTAGCTCGGTTCAACTGAAACCAACTCACATGCCTACTTAAGAGAAAAAATGCTAAAAGATTACGTCGTTACAGTGTTACTGTTATAATATTATTTGCTAATGTCAATGAACTTGATTCGATTCTTATATGCATTTTCTATTCCGTTTCCAACCCCAGTAAACTCGATGGTCTTCAACTATATCTTTTAATGCAATTTTCTTTTTTCTAGATTGTTTGCACTTGGAAGCTTTGATGAAGAAAGTAGGGTTGTGGAAGTCCTACGATCTAAGTGCTCATTTATACGATGCAGGAATGGGGATGCTTATTTTCATCCCAATTCCATTATTTTCGTTGTTTCCGTTTGCTTCAACTTTCCAAACCCGACTTTTGTTCGATCAAGCATTCAGTTGAAGGCTCGGGAATATCTCTTATCCTTGCTGGAAACAACATGAACACTGGCTTATGATGATATTCTGTGGCTGTTTTGGATTATGAGGTTATGCAAAAGAGAGCTTCCTTAGTTTATATCTTTCTATATTAGCTAATTCTTGCTGTAAAAATATTTAGGGTCCGTTTGTAAGTGTAGAAAATGGATGGAAAAAAAATGTTTTATAGGAAAAAGATTTTCCTAGAAAATGTTTTATTGGGAATTGTAATTAAATGTGTTTGATTAGTATAATTTTACATTTGGAAAATTTTTAAAAGTTTGGATTTTTTTGTTCACGTTTGGCTTTATTTTACGTGAAAATTGTCCATTAAAAATGAATTATTTTTTACAATTGATTATAAAATTTGTTAACATTGNAAAAAAATTTATGGAAGAACCTGGAAAAGGTTTTCCCACCATACATTTTCCACAATTTCAAGAAAAATGACACGTGGGAAGGGGAGAGTGAAAACTTTTTTTGACTAAATTTTATCTATCAAACAACTCTTTTACATGGAAAAAGAAAATGTTTTCAATTTTCCATAGAAAAGAGAGGCTATCAAACATAGCCTTATAGGAAAAGTCGTAGATGGTTTTTTTTTTTTTATGGAGAGGTAAAATGCGTAGAGATGGAAGAGAACATTAATCACAAAAGGCACTCTAATAGTTTAATTAATAATTTAAGAAAATATTTTCTTAAAAAATTAATGGGTAAAATATTCAACGCTTAAATTTTTTTTTACAAAAGCATCATGAGACGGTAACCGGTCACGTTTAGCGTGCCGCCGGGACATTCACATCCTATCCGTGAAACGAAAGCGAAATAAAGTTACGCCGTTAAGTAATCCCGTATTTCAATGGCGGTGTTGTAATTTAATCTCGATCAGAGGCCAATTCCGTTTAAGACTCTTTTAATTATAAACAAAGCAAATGCAATCTCATCCGTCAATTTGACAAACGCGAATCTTAACCGTAGGTTTCCTTCCTCAATTCTATATAAACAGCCTTACCCCTATTCAATCGCCTCCACACATTGCACAATATTGAGAAAGTGAAACTCCGAGAATTCTAGAGAGGGTCAAACAATAATTAAAAAATAGAAGGGTAGAAATTACAATATCGCTCCTCTGATTTTGAATTTAATTTCTGTAGATAATCCACAGTGTGAGAGATCTAATCTGATTCGGATTTTTAATATCTGTGAGTTCGATTGACGTTTTTTTTTTCCGGGATTTAATTTGAGTTTTTAGTTCTTCTGAGAACATAGAAATGAACGAGCAAGCAACAATGATGAATCCACAACAGCAGCAGCAAATGATGAACATGAATCAGAGTCAGATGATGAGTATGAGTCAAATGAATCAGCCGCAGCAACAGGTAATTTTCAGCAATCAGAATAAAATCTGTGAATATTTTCCGACGATTTTGAAAATGAGTAATATGATGAATTTTCAGTCTCGTTCACAGATGATTCCGATGAATCGGAGCTATGGGATGTGGGCTCCGCCGGTGCAACCACAACCGCAATTCCAAAACCCTAACGGTCTTGCCGGAATGAAACCGCCGTCGTTTCCTTTTGGCAAGTCATCGAAGCCTTTGGGCCCAAGGAAGAACTGGAAGGGGAAAAATGTGAAGAATGATAAGCGCAGGACTGAGCAGCAGAAAGCCCTGATGGCTGGCTCTGACACTGTGGCACCCGGTGGTGGTGTTAATATCAATGGGAAATTGAATTTCAATAATTATAACCCTCCCACTGTGAATGAGTTGCAGCATCAGAATCGATTAAAGACCAGGAAATTCTTTTCGAAAAAGAAGTTCAACAAGAATAATAGCATGAATATAGGTAATAATAATAAGAATAATAGCAGGTCTGTTCCGTTTGCACCAAGAAACACGAGTTCTTATATAATTAGGGCAAAGAAGAGTGGTGGAATTGCTTCTTTGGTTTCTCCGTGCCCTGTGACACCTGCAGTTCTGCCTACCCCAATTTTCTCTCCATCAAGTGAGGTTTTTGTGGACATGGCAAAGGAAGAGTGGGGTGTTGACGGGTATGGATCAATGAAAGGGTTGATTAGATTGAGATCGCCTGGGCATGAATTGGATGCTCACGAGGATGAGGAAGATGATGGAGGTTCTAGCGAGAGTGATGTGGAGGAGCACGTTGAGGTGGAAAGGAGGTTGGACCATGACTTGAGCCGGTTTGAGATGATTTATAATCCGAACGGCATGAATGTTGGTGGGATGGATTACCACAATGTATTGGAGAATAGAGTTGATGATCAGGACACGCATATTGCACAGTTGGAGGAGGAGAATCTAATTCTGAAAGAGAGGTTGTTTTTGATGGAGAGAGAGTTTGCAGAATTGAGGAGGAGGTTGCTGGGTCTTGAGAGGAGACGGGTACATGGAGAAGGAGAGGACATTAACGAGGAGGTTGTGGAGAATGAATCTGAGAATGAGGGTGTTAGTCATGGGGAGGGAACCCATTCTACAGAAGATAACAATGACTATTTGGGCGAAGAAAATGTTGTGGGAGATGNTCTTCGTCAAATTAAATAAATTGTTTCCTTTTTCTATACATGTTCCTTTTAACGTATCGAGGAAGTAATTCAAAATCAGCCTCAAATTAAGTCTTCGTCCAGTGAAAGTAGAGAGTAATAATGTTGGATTGATTGAAGCTGATAACAATGAGTAGAAAGTAGAACAGAGATATTGTTGACGGGAAAGAAGATAAAAATGGTGATGAGTTTGCTGAGGCAAGTAAAACTGAAGAGAACATTATCACCGTTGACGAAGTAGAGAATGACATTGAGAAGAACAAGTATGTGGATGGGGAGGTGACAGCTGATTATAATGTTAGCATTGAAGCTCCAGAGCATAAAATAGTCCGAGGAGATGTTTTTATGGAAGAGGTTGGGCATTCAGATGATGTAGCAATTTCTGAGAAGTGTCTTCAGAAATAAGATTCAGCAAGTAGAGGGTAATAAATGTGTCTCTTTCTCTGGTCATAGCCTTGAATTTCCTCCAAGTCTGGACTAACAAGCTTCTGGGTAGATAGTCCTTAATTTCTACGTTCTTTATCTGACAAGTAGAAAGAGGAAGAACTGGTTCTGCTATCGACGTTTAGACTGGCTTTAATCCAGTAGTGGATAGTCCCTATACGTAAATTTGTCTTTCCGTTTCTATTTCATTTCTTTTTCCGTTTTTTAGGTGTGGGGGAGGGAAGCCGTTTGTAAATTTTCAGTTCTTGACAGAATGACAATGGAGCTTTCTATTGGAAACATAAAACGTGTAATTTTCTCCTTTCTACTGAACTTTGTAATTTGAAACTTCAATAAATGGTTTTGATAACAGTGTTGTTTCCATATCTATAATTATATACTAATTGTGATATCTTTTTAGTATTGCCACATACATGTTTATACCACAGGTATGAATTCCCAAGAATGTGAAAATTTTTAGGTCATATATTTTAGCTTGCCTTCTCTGATTATTGATATGCCTATGATAGTTTAGTGCTTCATATTGAAGTACAAAGGTGTTCTTGCAGCTTGGATTTTGATTGCTTTAAGAATCACATTAGCTGTTATTTTTCCCAGAAAACTTACATGGAGTATGTGTGCATGTCATGAAATGTTTGAGCAAATTGTACCAACTCTTTTTCATGCATTTACTTAGATTTGTCTAGCCATTGTTGAAGGCAGTCAATTATCATGCTGGGTATATTCTTAAGTTGTACTTTTATTTACTAGTCTGTTTGAAGCCCCTACTTTTTAAGTGCTGTAGTGAAATATGATTAAGGGCTCGTTTGGCATGTTTTTGCTTCTTGTAAAATAGCTTCATGAGGAAAGTTACTTTGGACAATCTTTCTCTAAAAAAAAAAATAGTCGACAAAGTACTTTCAGAAAATTATTCAAGAAGGTTCTAGCAAGACAAAGCACTCAAAATAAAATCAAAAGCAACTTCTTAATTTTAAAAGCGACTTTTGACCTTTCAAAAGCCTTGACACGGGCCCAGGGGTGGACCTACGTGAGGCAGCCCCGACTCAATTTTCAGATTTTCCGATTTTTCTTAGGATTTTCAGATTTTTTTTTTAGTTTTTTGGTCCACATTTTTTTAGGTTTTCAGATTTTTTTTTCCAAGGTTTTTTGGTTTCGCCCCCACTGAACTTCCTTCCTGGGTCCGCCCCTGCACGGGCCCTACATTTTATTGCATTGAGATAAAATCTGGATTATAGAACTGCAGTTTAAATTTTGCAAGGGCCTAAACTAGAATTGCATTTAGCCAAGAAAATGAGATGACGTGTTGAGAGTTTGTGATCAAGAATCAAATTTCGCTTGTTGTCTGTATATGGATTACGGAGGTTTTTATTGTAAGGGCTTAAATTACAAATGCATGTAGCCTTGTAAAGGCAATGAATCAGCTAGAAGATAGAAGACACGAATGGTTTAGTGATAGATTTGAATTTTTTTGTGTATCATAGACAGGTTCTTCGATGTTGGACGAGGCACAACATGATGATCTGATCAAAATCAAGCGACTCGAAAAGAATGCTACTACTACTATGGCAAAACACCCCACTGCATATTCATTTTCAGGTTCGTAAAGTTTTTAGTATGCCCCTTTAGATGCTTTCTTTCCTTTTGTTGGCTCTTTCGAACAATCCAATAACTTCATGATAGATTTCTTGTGGTACGAGGAGTTAATAGACATTGAAAAGAAGCCCAGCATAATCAACTGAAACGTTCCCTTATCTTATTACAGCTAGAAAATGAAAAGGAAAAGGCTTTTCTACTTGGACGTAACATGGTAACAAAACAAAATTATGCCAAGGAATAGATAGTTGCTAATAACTTTTAGCAGACCAACAAAGGTAGGGGCTTCAACAAGTTGCAGTGAATAAGCTGCTAATTATGCCAAGGAAAAGATAGTTGTTAATAACTTTTTGCCGACCATCAAAGGTAGGGGCTTCAACAAGTTGCAGTGAATATGCTGCAGATTCTTAGAGATAATCCATACAAGCACAAAAGTGGGAAAAGCAAAGAATGGAGATGTTAAATAGAAGAATGAAATGGACAATAAATGGTACCAGCAGAATCCCCTTTTCTACTTGATGCAGGATTGCAGGATTCTTCATTCACATCTTATCATCAGCTGCTATTGAATTCCCACTCATTTTCTATCTCTTGTATATATGTTTCTATATATATTATCCCACAAAAAGAAGCCTCGAACGTGGGAAAAAACACTAGTATTTGTAAAATGTTGTGCAATTATCCAAAATAAATCGTTAATTATATTCTCACCACAATTTTTATTGACTACATAACTTTTTAATTACATTGTCCCTAACCTTTGCTTATTTTTGCAATTTGTGTTCCCTAACTTTTTCGTCAAATTCTCATCGCGATCTTCCATCAATTTGCAGATCTTATTTTGTATTCCGGTTTTAATCTAAAAAAATTGTTGAGAGGGTGTAAACATATTTAATTCTCTCTCGTATTTTTGTATGATTAAAATAAAAAACAAATACAAAAGTCATTTACCACCTTTTCAGTGCACTTTAACTGAATATTTGTATTGAGAGTTCATTATAGATAAGATGTACTAATTATAAGTTAAAGATAAAAATGCATGAAAAAAATTGAGGACATAAATGTAAAAATAAGCAAATATTTGAAGGGTTAATCCATTTGTATATAATGGTTTGAACATTAATGAAATATCCCCTCTCACATAATGCGTGGGGCCTACATGTATTTAAAAATTCTAACAATGTAGTCCACATCTCCATTGTGAATAGTAGGTAAAAGATTCGATAAAAAAATTCGGTACATGTAGCATGATCCATATTTGAATGCATCCGTACTGTTCATGAAAGAAGTTTTCTCGAAAACTAGCATTGGTTGTTTTTGTTGCATCACCTTTAGG